TACCTTCCAAGATAAAATGCTTCACCCAAGAAGACGATACCCATGACAATTGCAATGATAACACCCAAAGGATGAAACATAGAAGCAAAGAGAGGTCCCCTTCTTTTCATGCACCACATGATCACGGAGACTTGGAAAACAGTGCCAAACATGCCCTATATATGTTGCATTTTACACCAAAACATCAATTTGGGGTTGTACATTGCTAGATCTATTGCGATCTGTAAGCAACTAGATGCTAACAATTAGTTTTTGAAACTCCCTCCTTCTTTTAACGTGTTCTGCCAAGATTGTGTCGGTATTATGAACGGTATCTTCTTTTATTTATGCAGAACATGATCCAACCGTCTAACAAAATAATTTTCTACTTACCGAGTATATAACGGGGATCAACCTCGTCATAGGTTTCAAGCTCCAAGCTTTAGTATCTCTTTCTACAGTCAAAGAGACTGCTGCAGATAGAATGGCAATGAAGCAGCTATAGAACAACATTAGAAGGAGCACTGCAGGATATTTCTTGAGAACTAATGCCTACAAAGAACAACAAAATTCAATTCTATTTTCATGTTACATTTGTATATCAAATCCACTTTGAGAGTTAACTTACCTGTGCAATGATAAATACTGAAGCCACCACAGAATCAATTGCAAGAAGCAATCCCCCAATGAGCCAGGCTGATGACTGTGTAAGAGTGTGAATAGGGGCAGTCGAATGCGAGGAAATCCCTAAAATGGCTGGACCTTTGTAGAGAGTTATAATAAAAGCACCTATTATTGACACTATCGTCCCAATAGATTTAGCCAGGGTGCTTGAACTTTTGCCGTCAAATTTTTCCAACCTAGTAGCTCCATTAGAAAACTAGCTAAGAACAAGCTTACGAGTATGATATTTGTTGCAATTGGCCCCGCAGGCAGCCACAGAACATATTTAAATTTGGAAAACTAGATGTACATCTTATTAGAGAGGCCCATCAATGCTAAATTGCCACCAAACACTACAATTTTTTAAATCAACTCTTAAATATTTCTTCTTTTGCTCAAAGAACACGGATCAATAAAGCGGTCTTGAGTGTTCATTCTTTACTGTCATTCCATGTTTGATATTTATGTATTAATTGGTAAGACAGAATGGAATGAAGTTAACCAGCAATTTCTACCTGAACATGATGGCGAGTATGAAGGTGAAACCTGGAATGAGGTTCATCATTGCACTAGAAAGTGATGCAGTGGCATACATAAGTCCAGTATATCCAAATATCTGCACCAAGAACCTGTAGATTTTACCATTAGCATTACAATATCCACACATGATATTAGTCTATATAAACTAAAATTTTGTACCCAATTAGGCCGAGCAAGAAAAACCCACAAAGGAATGTATAGAAAAGCGGCGGACGAGCAGATCTGCACAAGAATGGGAAAACTCAAATTCGGTTCTTGAATCATTTAAACAAGCAGATAATGTGCAGTGTATTACCTGTGTAGCCAAAATGAGATAGGAAGTAGTATAAGTGAAGCAATTGCATTTGAGTAGAAAGCAAAGGTGAAAGTGGTCATTCCATTTGACATGGCTACTTTGCCTGCTATCATTAAGCCCACCTGTGCAAACTGCACAATCACCATTCCCACATATGGAAATACACTCTCAATCCCCATTCTCTTCCAACTACAAATTGCACTTGTTCACAGACAATTTGTGCACCAGATCAATGGAGGTATGTGCCTTTTGCCTTTGAAGACACACAGGCTGTTCATATTAGAATCTATATAATTGTTCACATTTTATTACGGGATAATTACAACCACGTTCCCAATTCTTTCAAATATTTGCATCTTTTATCCTCACCTTTCAATTGTTGCACCCTTTGTCTCAAACCTTTTACAACCACGTTCCAAATTCTTTCAAATATTTGCATCTTTTATCCTCACCTTTCAATTGTTGCACCCTTTGTCTCAAACCTTTCAAGTGCGTGCGGCTAGAGGACAAATGGGTAGAATACATCCATATGTCGATTAACTGATCCAAGAAAAAAAAAAAACGATCTTGATCACGTTATTAACTATTTCAATGATGGTAAGAGCTTGTTTGAGCTCCATTTTTTGTATAGAATGTATTTCGAAATAGTTGATTGATGAAGAATGTGTGGTTGCAAAAAAAAATCTATTAATGTGATGGAAAATA